CCTACCTTTTAAAATGTGGCTACTTTACAGAAACAGTCCTCCCATTCTGCTTGAATCTCTGATTTCTCACAATGTAATTTTTTATACTAGTAGTGGCCACTGTATCCAAAGCCACTTCAGTTCAGGCAATTCTGTCCAAGTACCTCCAAGCACGAGTCTTGCTGACTGTTGAAGGGACTGGTGAGCAATGCTGAGAAAGTTTTTTTCAGCAAGCCTGAGAGATATGATGAGAGACCATACACTGAACATACATCCCTTTCAGAGAAGGTGCAAGATTTTACGTATTGCATAAAACATACAAGACAGTACAGAAAAGAAAGGAAATTTTAACAGGGTTTTCACAGAACCCAGGGGATGAAAAAATGTTCTCTGAAGTAATCCACAACAAATAAGTGATGAGAGGCTCTGTATGAAAACTGAAGGATCCAGAAATTTGCCAGCTCAGGGATACCATGAGTTTCCCTTGCAGTTGCCTTTCTGCCTACATGCTGTGTGGTGTGAAGCACATGAGCCTTCCTTCCAAGGGGAGACTAATTATCTGAGATACTAATTGTACATTAAGCACAATAGAGAAATTGAACTGTCTGTGGTGAGTAACTAGTGCTTTGGAGATAGTAGACAAGATGTCCAAATTACTTCGCTTGTTCATGGCTGGGATAAATGGATGTTGTGTTCCTAAAATGTACTCTTTGTTAAAAAAATCCAGATCAAAAAATAGATCTTGAGAAACAATGTATAATTCTAGAAAATTACCAGGAAGTAGAAAATTAAATCCTCCTGAAAGTGACCTTCTACTGCAGAATTAACGGAGAACATTCAAATTCATTCATTGGAAAGAAATCTCTTTGCTGCAATAAAGTAGCAAGCAGCAGGTGACGTGACAACAGTAACAAAGGCAACATATCCAGCCTCTGAAGCAGTTCCATTTCCCTCAAGCTAAGAAGTTGAGCTGCAGACTGCTACTGCTTGTCTTCCATTGTGCACACTGGAGTTGTAGCTCCTAAAAATGACCATTTTTAAAAAATTCTGAACTACTTAAAAAGCTCCAGCATCTGAACTCAAGCATGAACCCAAGAGGACTGGCCACAGCTGCTCACTGATATCAAGCCTGGGCTGGGACTGGTGCAATGTCATCACACGGCCTTAAGCTCCCTGCTACCCAGCAGTTCAGGGCCACTGAAGGAGGCAGCAAAAATTTAATGAAATGGGAGCAGAATCCACACCAAACAGGATCCTCCTTGTCTGCTTAGCACAGAAAAGGAAGACTGAGATAACACAGAAGGAACTGGGGCTCAAGATCACATTGATAAATGTAGAGAGATGCTGAGGCAGAAACAGCATGTGGTATCAAGTAAAAAATACCTGCTTTAGCCAAGTACAGACAAGGACAATTCACAGGCTTTTAGGCTGTTTGAAAGACATAGATCAGCACAGTGTTAGACTCTGAGCAGCATTTTCTTTCTTTTGTGGACAGCAGGAGCACGTGGCTAGTGCAAGACTGCCTACAGTTCACTCTTGGAGACTTTAGAAGCAGTAAGAGTCCTCTTTGTTCCCAGAGAGTCTGGAATAACCATTTTAACAGATGACATGTTCATAGTAGACTATGGTCATGTGAAAGATACAGCAGACTTCTTCCCCAAAAGAAATTCTGCGTCAAACATCCTTTTTACGACTCTGTCATCCAAGCAATTTCAGTCTGTGGTCAGCTGCCCTTCCCAGAAACCCATTTTCATAACCACAATATTTTCAAGAACTAGACCTGTTTGTCTCATTCCCTTTATCAGGATCATATGGGTTATCCTCTCATGACCCAACCCAAAGCTGCTCTCTGGGATGATCCTGATTCTGGTCAGGAGACCAAGGGAGGCTCAGCATTCCAAATAGTTCACCCCTCTCACAGCCTGTCAGTAAATCTGGGGAGACAAGAAATGGCTCTTTCAAAAGAAAAGTTTTAGCTCTTTGCCAAAGAATACACAGTTTAGGAAAATGGGTCTAAAGCACAGAAGAGTATTATCTAAATATTTCATTACCTCAGTGTAGCCACTTCATTCCAAATGAAGAGGGATCCAGCTCATTCCTGCCTCTCCTGGAAGACATAACTGTATAACTTACAGTACTCTACCTCTGCCTGTGTCTGATTCGACCTGCTGACAAAGCCTTACTCCCACTGATCTGAAGTTTAAGACAAAGAAAAATAAGTCTAGGCCAGGTAACGATTTGTTAGATCAGGTGGATCCAGTCCACAGATTTTCACTAATTAATATTTTCCCTATCCCATCCTCCAAGAGCATCAGCATTATCTAGGATAGAATATTATCTCTGCTTCTTTTTTCTCTACCCCTTTTTTCTTTTAAAATCTCTTTGATTAACTCTGCTCTGTCTAATAGGTAATTAAGGTCTTGAGGATTTACTTTTAAAAAGAAAAAGGTATGTTTCTCTTACACTAGTTAGAACCATCTTAAAGTTAGGATTTTATCTAATGAATGCTTTATAAGCTGAATTATTTACAGGACACAGTCCCTCACATACTTCAAATGTCATACATCCATCGTTCCAAGGCACACCCTTCTGGAGAAAAGGTTTCTGCCTGGATATTGGAGCATTAAACTTGTCATTAATTTTCTGTTTTTCTTGGTCATTAGTTTGTATATGCAAGAAATCTGAATCTGCTTGGGGGACATTTTGCACAGTAAGAGGGGAGACGCTGTACATGGTAAAGCAGGTAAGAAAGAAACGTTAGTCATTTATTTATTCCATTTGCTTCCAAACTGTGGTTCACCGTGACCATCATATCATTTCCTGCAAAACTCTTACCTCACCAGTGCTCTCCTGGTAGTTTACAAATATTTGTAAACCCAGTGCCTCATTCTTCATTGGAAATGAGTTCCCCAACTCTCAGTTTTGTGGCAATTAAATGACACAAATTTATATATTCAAGTGCCTTTTCAGTAATTGAAATAAAACTGAATTTTCTAAATTATAAAGTCTATAAATTCTTCACCTTTCCCACTCTTTGTACATAATCAGTACCATTTAATTTTCTCACATCTAGGTAATTTGCTTCAGAACTTCCTATAACTATCTGTTACAGACTATGAGATTTTTATTTTTATTTTTTTAAATCAACCAGCACATGACAAACCAGGAAAAAGTTCACCTGCCCAGTTGATTTGAAGGCATTTGAATATTGCATTTACTATATAACCTGTTTTCTTTCTCTTTCCTGCTGGTGCTGATATTAGCTGCTTTATGGCAATTTACCTTTTAATTGAAATCTGACACAAAAGACATAAAACACTCAAATCCTTCCACTCTCACCCTCCAATAGCCTTTCCTCTCTCTCAATAACTTTAACTTCTGATTTATATACTTGCAGCTGGCCTTAGCAAGCTAACCTAGTTTCCACTTTGAGTGATCTTCCTTTTCATGTTTGAAGTACGTGAAGAGCTCTTGATTTATCTAACTCAGGCTCTTACTGTACTTCCTATCTTTCCTCTTCAATGCAAAAATTTCCAGTGCCCTTCGTAGAACTGTCTTAAGGAACTGCCAGGTCTCTTCTTATCCTTTCACTTAGACCAACTTCCCAAAAATCTTACCTCCACTGCATATACAGCAGACATATTTACTACCTGCCCACTGATATAAATCTTGACAAGGACATCAAGGATCACAAAAAAATCAGTTTGCAGTACGTAGTATAAATGATAATACACAGTATTACATATATATAGTAGTACTATAAAGATCAGTTTCCTGTACACTCTCTCTCTCTCTCTCTCAATTTTTTTCCAGAGTTACTGAATTGCCGACAAACATTTCTTCTTTACTCAGGAGTAGCTGGGGACTCTCTCCACATTCTTCCACATCTTCTAAACAGAGTTTCTTCAAACTATCTTAAACTGATTGATAAAGAACTCATCAGCAATCGAAGAATTCAAATAGCCACTGCTCATGACCTCCAGTAAAAATAATATGCAGCTACCTACAGGTGATAACCATGCAACTTTATTTTCTTTAGATTCTAGTCAAGTGATTCTAGTCTTCTCCATTGAGTATTCTTGCATCCAACCCACTCATCTCTTCCTTGAAGTCATTATGGTCAATATTGTGATCTTTGGTGTTCCCAAGATTTCTAAGAGCTGATGGTATCTTTTAGCATTTCAACAAAAACAGCACAGAGAGCAATAAGTGTGTCAGTCTCTTAGATCTGCATCCATTGGGTTTTGTTGTTGTTGTTTTTTTTCTCTCTCTCTTAAAAGTTTTATTCAACTGTTTTTGATGGAGTTACTTTGAAGTGATCCCTAGCTTATAACTTGAAGTAAAACTTCTTTTAGAGCAAACATGAAAGCATGAGAATTTTCAATCCATAATACAATCCAAGAACAAAAGTCTGACTGATAATAGTGATTTTTAAAAGCAAGAGAGACCAAGACTTAATCCTCATAATCTATAAAGATTTCAGCGTAGAAATTGGAAGATAATTCAACTACCTCAACGTTTCAGAATAATCTAAGTAATTTAAGATCATGTATGCTACTTGTACTCTTGTTATTTAGTTACCTTTGAAAATCTCTCAGTACTATCAAGTTATCAGTGCTCCCTGTCTGTAACGCTACCAATATAAAAGCATTGCTTGTTTGGAATTGGGTTACTGTTTTCATGCAGATTAGTAAGCACTTTTCACCCATAAAAATGATTAATTTACAATGTTTAGAAAGTTTACATTCTGGACCAGCCAAGATAAATCACTCACAAAATTATAATGAAATTCAGTCAGCATATCTTTAGTAAATATTCTTTGAAGTGCTGGAAATGAGAAAGCTGGCATTTTTTATTCTTTTCCCCCCTCAAACTCATAAAAGAACAATACCTGGCATATACCAAGTTTTCCTAAAACACCTTTTTCAAAGAGTTCACAGGGTAAACAAATTTAGAACACTTTAATCACGAGTGATTGTTGACAATGAGCTAACAAAAATATTCAGTACTTCAGGTCTTGAACCCTGAGTAGTTGAAATGATTTCACCCAACTGACATTTTAACATCAAGGCAGAGCTAGGAAACAGAATAAGCTACAGATATAAATACAATAACACAAGCTATTGCCTGTGCCACATTTTGCAAATGATCAAATAATACAAATATCTGTATTGCTCCCAAACTCGTGATTATAAATAACTTGTTCTTCTAATTATCTGCAATTACACACACGTACTCAAACCCATCTTGGAATGCAACTGATGTTCTCAACATGCAATGTCATTCTGCGAATAGAAGTCAAGACGTGTTTGATGGGGAAGTTTATCCCAAACCTCACATTCTGCCCAGAAAGAGGAACAGCCCATAACCAGACCTACCTAGACAGCACCCAAGAACTAACCTTGACTCAGAGTAACAGTTTATCTACTGTCCTCTCTTTTATCTGAAAAGACAAAGGGGGAAAAAAAGATACTTGACTTAAAAACCAAAAAGATCTATTGAGCAGAAGGAATGGACCCAAATTTATTTGATCCCCACTGGAGGGAAATAAATAAATAAATAAATAAAACAGTCCAGTATACATCCTCCTCATAATTTGAGGAGGGCAGAAAATGAGAATCTCATTTGTCTCTGTTGCTAAGTGATGTGTATGAAGGCACATTATACTGCAAATGCACACTAGAATATGGTACACAGTAACATGTGAAACAGTGGTGTAAAAATTAAAACAGCAATGCATGTAGTAAAGCTAAATTGATGAAAAATAATTTTCTATTAAAGCTGTAAACTGTCTCAACACTGTCAAAGACTATTAACTAACCCCAAATATTACATGTAATCCACATTTTTCCACAATATAATCTAAAGTCTGTGTTCTATGGTACAAGCATAAGGAATGTTACTCCTCCTAGATTTTCTGCCATGATGAGAGACTTGCACTCTATTGGCTCCTCCAGCCTCTTCCAGTTGCCTCTGGTCCAAGGGCTTAGCAGTGAAGCCATGGGAGTCTGTGCCATGGAAAAGAAACAGTGAAGTTGCCATAATTAACTCCATTAGTCCACCTTACAGATGCTGAATTACAAACTTGGCAATTACTCTACCCTAAATGTGCCTGGCAAACGATTAGAGTACAGCTATACACTGCAAATAGAGGAGGAAAAGAGCTCTGGGGAGGGATACACAGGCTTCTGGGGTCACCAAACCCCTGATCTATACAAGTCCCTGTTATAGATCTTCCAGACCATGGGGTCTTAAAAGATTGATGGTTCAGACTTGCATGCAACCACTTCATGAGAAAATGCCGATGCAACTTAAAGAGCTAGATTCTGAGAAGTTTGTTCACTGAGCAAGTGCTGCTAGACAATCTCCTTGATATTAACAGAAGAAATTCATAAATTGAGCTACTTTCTGGGGTTAATAAAATCCAGCCCTTGATACCTTCAAGTTATACCACTTTCATATGGTTTAACTGTCTATTTTGCTGGAGTCAGACATCCCTGTTGCCATGTAGACGTAATTAAATCCTTACTGAAAAGAGGAAATGCACTGTGAGGCTGTACGTGAGTTCTGAGAAAAATAAATAAATTAATTAATAAATCAGATTTTTAAGGGACTGATCAAATCAATTTGAATTTACAGAGGTGTTCTAAGTGAAACAAAGCAGAAGAAAGTATTGGGAGATTTTTTTTGCATAACCTACATATGGGAAAATAATATTCAGAAATAAAATTGTCTATGTAGGGTCTGAACATCCCTCTTCTTGAATAAACTTGTCATTTGAAGCCTCCATGGACAGAAGACTCTCACAGAACTAGACAAAGACGACAGATTCTTTACAAAGTATTTTCAGAATTTCTCAGATGCTGTTTCTAGTCTTCATGTTTTTATTTATGGAAACAAGCTTTGATCAACTGCTTGACTGAGGACTTTCTTGGACAAGTTCCACTTGATATCCTTAATCTTTTCATCCTGAAGTCTCCAGAAAACAAAATGGAGCCTTTTGCTATTCTTTTACCAAGCCTTACAACTCTGTAGCTCTATATGGCATGAAAGACTCCAGATCCAAAGATAATCAAGACCACATGACTGAAGTGTGAGTCAATTGTATGCAGATCTAAGATCCAGCACTCTAAGGTTAATACATCTGTGTTGCAAGCGTATAATCATCCTGAAGTATCTTCTTTGTTTTGTGTTTTTGTTTTGTTATTTTTTTTAAAGAATGACAAAAAAAAAAACCAACACAACAGAGTCTAATTTTATGTGCCTGGGAGTAGCTATCTAAGCTTCAGGCAATACAAACACTGCTATTACTAAGGAGTAAAAGCTCTGCATAATTAACAAACATCATCAGCCTTACAGTTCCTGTAGAATGTAGTAAGTTCCTTGCCTGAAGGCTGCTCTCAGCCTGGTAAGTCTGTTTACCCTGTCCAAGATTAGATTAGTTTAATTATTATGAAAAAGACTGCTAAGATCTTACAGCCTAATTATGCAAATGTTTCTAAATGTTCACAAAAGTAATTTATTTATTTGGAGATAAATGAATCTGTTTTGTCATAAACCAGATTGCAGTCCTGGCAATGTACAAGCAGGGTTATGTGCCCTTAGGCATATCTTTCACCACAAATGTCAGTGGGACCCCTGGATTACAACATTTATAAATACATAAATGGTTTTTAGCAGGTTTTTATTGTTTTTGTAAATTATTGTAATCCCAGAAAGAACTATCACAGGTTTAATACTCACCAACCTTGTTATGAAAACAGAGTTTCACAGCAGAAGCATTTAAAAGATGCTAACAGCTAAAACTTTCCTGGTAGACCTATTAAGGTGCACCTGTTTTATTATGCTTTGGAATCAATATCTTCAGAAGAGTTCCCTCCTCCTAGTACAGACTCTTGCTGCTAAAATAACCTGTATCATAAAATACTACTATTCTAAATAAGGTGGTAGCATTCAAGGTAGACAATGCTAAGCATATCCGGAAGCAACTCCTCTTTACATTAGAAATTCTGTAGGTTTTTCTTGCAAACCTCACTGCAGCTTAGACATTTAATTCTTCATCTACGTGTAATTACATGACAACACATGAAATAGATGCAGAAAAATGATTCTATATTTAGCTACTGCTCTAGTTTCATCACTATTATAATGGAGATAACCCCTAGGCAGCACACTGCTGCCCTCCGTGAACTCATGCACATTCAAAGCAGAGTATATTTTGGAACAGTAGACACTTAAAATCTGATCTTGACCGCAATGAAAGCTGTAAAGCTTAACACATTGCACAGCTATGTAAAATGAAGCAGGACCTAAGCCCAATAAAAGACCGCCTTTAAAGAGTCAGATCTTTTCATAATGAGACAGGCAGGTGACACTTCACACACTGCTCAGCACACACGCTGCCTCTTGGAAGCATCAACTTCTGAGAGAATTAACATGCACCTTTAAAACACAAGACAAGAGAAGTTTAGCTTCATGTGAATAGCAAAGCAGGTGAAACAGAATTCACAGCTCTATTTAACCGGGACACTTGAGGCCAAATTTATTTAAACTGTAAAGTCAATTTGATGTGCTAATGCCTTCTGCTATCAAAGTTTATTTTCTGTTTGAGACAATATGACATTTTACTGGAAATATATTGTGTTAAAAGCAATACAGTGAATTCTTGATTTGTTTGTAAACTAACCAGTCCTTAAATAAGCTGGGCAACAGCTCTATATGGGAATTACACCCACAGTCCTCCTGTGTATTAAGTGGAGAATGTGAGCAATGATCTTTTCTAGCTATGACATCACTGTTATAGTGGATATTCAAGATATTAGAAGCTGCTTGCTGTCAGTTAAATGATCACATCTCAAGTGCACCTGCTTTATAATTATTCATTTGGAGCAGGATCATTAACATATTCCTTTAGTCATTTACAGGCAATTTGACTCTACAGTAATGATTTTTCCCCTCTTTGTAACAAATTAATGATATATATATAAATACATGAGTACAAATGAAATTCATACAATTCCTATCATAATTAGCACATACCAAAGGTCTGAAGGCTGCCTAACTTGCATTTTCCCTCTGGTAGGCAGCTATTCTGCAATCACTTAACAGCTACAGCACTATAGATGACTCTTTCAAAAGAAAGGTGCCTGTCAATGTTCTCTTCTTTCAGTGATGACAACAACTTAGTAGTCAGGTTAACAGCTGACACCTTGGAAAAAAATTCTTTGCTCCAAGCTCAAGAGTAGAAGAGCTAAGAAATTGGATGTTCATTACCTCTATCTGTTTGGCAGCATAAATAACAGAGGTGTTTGTCCGATATCCTCTGTAATGGCCTTGCCCCAGGTTTGAGATAGATTTCTTCATAGCTAGGCAACCTGGAGAATCATCAGATAATTGGCAAGCATGTACAAACAAACAGGAGCGTGTCCAAGCTCTTATAGTACACCTTAAATACTAATAACTCATCTTGAGGTTTGCCACAGCTCATAAGCTGACAGAACTTCCCTAAAACCTCCATCATTAGTGCAAGATGTTCCCGATCTCACCATGGCTTATATGCAGAACTCTTTTTTGGCAGACATTACTGCTGGGCTGTAGGATGCTGTAAGACTGTCAGAAAACTGCACTGCAAAGTCACTTTGGCCCAAAGAATCTCTTTTCTGTAACACCAGAGATGCAATAATTGCCTACTCCAGGCAACACCTTGTCCTCACTGAAGGTGTGGTAGACTACAAAAACACTCAGCAGAGCCGACACAGATCATTCCCATGTATTATTTCCCCTTAGCATGTTGTTGGACTTCTACAGAGGCAGGCAGTGAGGAACACTGGAATCAAATCAAGTTCCCTTGTTAATTACACACAAAAGAAAGGCAGCACTGATCTACTAGGCTGAAGAACATTTGTTGAGAGTGTCTACATTGTCTCCAGCAGTCCTGTTTGTTACATTGACAACAGAACAGCCAGCAGAACTTCAGCAGATGCAGGGAGTAGGGGAACAGACACATGGGAACATTTCTTCTTTTAAACTGCCCCCCAAAAATATTCAGAAAACACCCACCACGTAGGGAAGTTTCTTCCCATAACTATTCTTCAGGAGCAACCTGGAAACATCCAAAAGAAAGAGACATCTATAAAAAAGGAAAAATAAAGAAAAAAAAAGATTTCCAGCTTCCTTCCTGGTGATGTTAGAGGGCTCCTAAGGATGCCAGAAAAGCCCAGGGGGAGACACACAGGAGTGCTCTGCCACTGCTGAGCAATCCTTCTCAAACACGTCTGTCAGAGGAACCCAAAGTGCCCTTCATAAGAGTGGCTACATGTGAGCACAGGGAGCTTTGAAGCAGCAATTTGTAGCTCTAAGCATCAGAACACAGACCACGGCATTCTGGGTGATATGCATGATGCAGAAAAACTCCTGGATATTTCTGAAATTATTTCTGTGCTAGACGTCTGACTAGGAATCTTGTCCATAAAACACCAGCATTTTTTTCCATTCATTTCCACAGGGTTAAGATACCAATCAGTGAGATGGTGAACTGATGGCATCTGAGAAACTTTGTAACATGATGCAAACATCCCTGAGCCTTCATGATCTGTTTCCCTAGTTATCCTGAGGAAATTACATCACCCTGTATAGAACAAAAGCCTTACAAAAATAATAGTTTGTTGTACGGTTATCACATTGTCTGGTTACAATGTGTCAATTTGACAGGTGCATAAAAAATTAAATCAACATATTTACTAATGTCATCAGAGGGTGAAGACGGCACCATTATTAAAAATGTTACAGAAAGCTGAGGAATACTAATTACCAAATGACATACCACTCATAAAAATCAAAGCACAGAGACACTATGATGGAAGCAGAAAGAAGATGGACTCTTTTTTTTTTTCATGTGATAAACTACTCATACTCAGAGAATCTCACCATATAACAATACCCACTGTGCAGGATATGTATCATTCCCATGTATCACTTAGAAATGGAGATTCAAAAAGACTGCTGAAACCTTTGAATATTGCACTCTATCAGGATAATTTACTGTTTTTAATATACAACTAAGATGCTACAGAAAATGAAACATTGGATTATAATTTATTTTACATTACTGGAAGATGCTCCCTCAAACAGTGTATTCTGCATTATTGAAAACTGAGCACTTGCCCTCCCTATTTGCCTGGTTCAGCTCATGCCACCATCACTGGACCAGATGAACCTGCTCTGTAGCCCTTTCTCCAGATTCAGCATCTGTGGTGGGGCACAGCAAGGTTTCATCTCTCCCAAAATGAAATCTGACATCTCTCCAGCTCTTAGGATCCGCATTGCACACCCCTGCATACCAGACATGGTTAATTACTCCCCAGTCAATAAAGGATTGACTCTTCACAAGATTTGTCCTGCTTTGCACCACGACAGCAATAGGTTAAAGCAATTCACAAACAGAAAGAAAGCATCTGTTATTCTTCCACCCAGTGAAAGCATCAGGACCAAGATAGACAGCCAAAGGAGAGTGCCATACATATATTCTCCTACCTCACACAGCTCTATCCAGCTTTGGATGGAGAGCAAGTCTTCAACTTATAATGCCTTGGTGCTGTAATTATTCCCTGGGGCTGAGCTCCTCTCTTTCTCTTCCCCTCTTTATCTCACCTCTCTGCATCCCTTTCTCTTTCCTCAGGACAGAAGAATGTGAATTGTCCCTGGACATGGAATAAGTCCTGGAAAGAGAGATCCACTCTATTCTGGATTGCTTTTGTGAAAATTTAAAGCTGTGCATCTGAAGTTATCTTCCGTGTGCCAGCACTTTCCCTTTCCTTCTTCTAACTTTCAAGACCATTTTATAGCCTTCCTTGACATACAGCTGCATTCACTCAGGTAGCAATACGCAAGTTTGAAGAAACCCATAATACACATTGGAATAATGCAGAGAGCTCATCACGACTCATTCTTACTTTCTTGGCATTCACTGAAAGCAGTTTTAGATCTGTGAACTGCATTATATCACTGAACAGTGCCTGAGTGCCTTTCCTGAGGGACAAGACTTGCACAGCCAAATGTCAGACTTGTATTCAGAGCCAGAACTGGATCCTCCCAGGTCCTTCCCAGCCTGTCTAGCACTGGCCCAAGCAGCAGGCATCCCAGTAAGTCCTCTTTTAAGCCCTTCTGAGCCTCCATAGCCACAGAACCAGAGTTGCAGCCCCCTTATAACCTGGCAAAACAAAGGGAGATGGACCTTATTTGCTCTGTACTGCAGAGTGTGGAAGTGAGGCAGAGACAACTTTTCCACTCATCTTTGCTATATTTCTGCTTGGACCAGCTACTGGTACAACAACTGAAAACATACACTACGGTAGAAGTTATCTTTAAGACATGAACACTTGCCAGAAGTTCAGGTACCTTGACTTCTAAAAAAAGTAAGGAAACATTATGGCATCTGTATGTGACAGAGGCTAACAAATATTTAAATCAAACATTACAGCCTTTTTCATCTTTGACTGTTCAAGTAAAAAATAAAAATAAAAACATAAAGCAAAAGCAGGCTACACAGTACTTTATGCTCAGAATAGATTTGTTTCACTGAGGTATCCAAAAACAACGTGGTTTGCTGATGAGAACAATAGCCTGTAAATTTCCGAATCTGAAATATTCATGAGAAGTAGGTAATGACATTTACAGCTTAACAAACATGCACTTTGAGCTCCTAATGAAAGATCATAAAAAGCCAGAGTGCAACGTAGTGTTATCCTTTGTTTTGGACTATTCTGAAAGACTCATTCTACATAGGAAAACAACTAGCGGAGTTGGGGAATTTCCAGTAATAACAGTCCTCGCCTGGAGGACATCTGTGGCCTACTCAAGGCTACAAGGGGTCCCTAAGCATTGCTGAGTAACTCTTAGAGAGCAGCATCCCATCTAGTGGAATGGAATGTTATTTCCTGGAACAGTGACTGATGACCAGTGACTAAAGTGCTGCTAAATATTTGACCCTCCTTTCCATTTGCTCTGTTGTTTGGTAGACGTTTCATTCCACTGACTGGCTAATCTCTTTTGAGGAAAAAAAAAAGAGCAATAGTCTGCCAACGTTATATCTAATTTCATTTTTAGGTGAACATTATCACATTGTTACAGATTTGCCAGCTCTGCAACAATTATTCATTGATTATTTCAGATCCCATGCTCCACTAACATACAGTTTGGCTAACTTTCTTCAAAAAGATACAATTCTTGAGATACTTACACATATTTCACTGATGGGAAAAAACAAATCAAATCAAAACCCCAACAGCTATTTCTACAGCAAAAGTAAAAATATGCTGCCATTCTCAATGCAAAAACTTATCTAAATTTATATTTACTGTTGATCTGTCAAGAGATCACATTATATTGAGTTTAAATTTTATTTCTGCCCATAGCAAAACCTTTCCACGACTTGTGAATCCTCCATAAAATAAGGCAGAAAAAAAAGGCTTATTTTATTAACAGAACTCAGCTAAATCAAAGGCTGGTAATGAAATCAAACACACTGAAAGGCCTCTACAACTTTGATTAAAAGGAATTTGGATATACTCAGAGCATCTACTGACTGCAGTATTTAAGGTACCAGATAGTCTCACATTAATTGATGCACGAATGCTTAGATAGATGACCAAGAACATGCTAGAAGCCAACTTGAATACATCCACTGGTTCCCCTTGCCCTTCCAGGATGTTTCAGTAACCTGGCACCACTCTTCCTTACCCCAGACAGAGGATGAGAATTACAGATCATTCCCTTAAATCAGGAGCAGAAGCCAGAACATTAAGCACTACTTTCATTTCCCTTTTTCAAGAGCTCAGGCCTTTCCAAACCCCCATCACGTGTTCTTACCAGGAGGTTGCCCTCTCTTCTTTTTCTTCTACTTGAAGCAGGAGCCACTCTCTACTACATGCAATATCTTGTTGCTCTGTTTTCACTTGGCTTGCAGTTTCATTACAAGCTTTTTGCATATCTCTGGCTGGAACCTGTAGATGAGAACAGCTTTTTAATGTTTGCTGTAGTTTCAAAGAATTGTGCATTTATTCAACTGAAAGCAGTAATGATGAAGGGAAAAATATTATTTTCAATGCTACTTCCACTGCACATTTCCAAGATGAGGCACTGAAGCTTCATTTGCAGTCTGCTGCAAAGCAAATCAAGACTTACATTTAATATGAAAATTGTGCACTGCAGCAATATGGAAAGAAGAGATGAAACTTCTGACTGTATCTCAAGATTGGGTGACAGAACATGTTATGCTGCTACACATCAAGTACCAGCAGCCAAATGTTGGAGCAATATAATTCCCTGCTCATTTAATGCATCTTTGTGCAGAAGCTGACACATCTGTGTGAATGTTATAGGACACTCACTTGTAACAGAGGTTTCTCTTTGCAAAAATAAAGGCTACAGAATTAAGTTTCTCAGTTGTCTGGCTACTAAGACTGGAAGATAATTAAAGCGGTCTTCCACAAGATGGCTCCCTCTCGCTGCTTGTATTACTGACTCTCAGCAGTGTGAAGGGAACATAAATAATATTCAGGACAACTGTGCAATTATGGTTTGGAGGAGTAAGAGTGCCTCCACATGGGAGCAGAAATGCTTCACCGAATTAGGGCAGCCAATGTGACAGTCAAGAACTGTACATCATTCATTTTCTACAGATTGGAAAGGGGCTGGAAGGTTCAGCAGGGTGATTTAGAATCACATCTTTGGAATGGCACGCGCTTGCTCCACTTGCACTCCAAGCTGGGGTCTTCAGCTCCTCAGCCACACATCTCAAGTTCGGAACGCAGAAAAATGTCTGAAGTGCACCCCCTCAAAATATGGTTTATTAAATTAACAAATATAGGATTAGGTCTAATGTCTAAAAGGAAAGAGAAAGTGGCATATTCTACGCACTAGAAATGAATTATTTTTATGCAGCTAGACCTGGCCACCGAGTCCTTGTTCCTTACCACATACATTGCACTCATCATTTGACACCAATGCCCTCATGCAACACCATGGTTGCCATTGTAGCATGTTTCTATAAAAGGAAGGAGCTCTGCTCTCCCTGCGTAAACTCCCTCATTCTAAAGCAAGGACTTCTTGGTTTGTATTAAAGATGAGATAATCTGGAGAAACTTGAGCTGTAAGAAGAGTGGCCATTCTGCTGTAGCTGCTGCCAGGCACAAGCAGGACACGCAGCTGAGAAGTGCCAAGGAAAAAGTGAGAAATATGCCCACACTCCTGTCTTTGCTCATGATTCCACTTACACTACCATTACACTGCAGCAATCCTGTTGTTTTCTGCACAGGTGCAATAACACAATCAGGAGAACACAATTCCACTGCCAATAGACAGCCTGCCCCCAGTGCTATTTCACAGCCCAGGTAATGACCTTCTCCATTGAAACACTGATGTCCTCCTCAGAAAACATTCCTATTTTCTAATTGTGCCCACAGGTATCAGAGCTGGTGAGCAGAGTTAACACTTGGTAAGCTGTACATAGCAACATAACTTCTTCTTCAGCTAAGGCAGTAAAAAAGAGGGTTGTAATTCATAGTGAACGTCAAGGTTGTTCTGGCAGCAATATGACTTATCTCTAAGCTGACAAAAACTAAGGAAGACTTTCTTGAAAGAAACATGAGGATATTTCCCTCACATGCCCTGAAATCTGTGTTAACTCAAAGTTATTTCAGTTCTACTGTCAGTGAAACTTAGGAACATTAGCAAAACCTCCAAGATCCAGTTCTGATGCCATACCAATTTGAATTGCTCCAAATAATCTTATTGTATAGAACCCAACACCAGGTAATCTGAAAAGAAAAAAAAGCAGCTACAATTTTTGCTTTCAGCCTTGTAATTTCCTGGAATCATGCTGTGTTGCTGACTTTTAAGCAAAAATCTTTATAAAAACCCACTGGAAGTTCTATTTAAGAATCCTGGTGGCAGGATATGGGCTATTGACTTCTGTACAGTTACTCCAAGCTGAACTGTGAAGATCTGAGAAGCATGTCCTTAGTCTTGCCTATAATCTTAGGCATGTTTAAGACACATTACACAAGACATGTTGAACTGAATGGAAACATGCACAGGATTCCCCTGGAGCCTTTATGGACCTCTTTTCTTTTAGCTTTAGCTTCTATGGATCTAATTTACACCTCAAGATAGACTCAATGTGAAGAAAGTTCACTTTACCTGCACATCAAGGTTTGTGTGAGAATTGAGTAAAAATTGTTGCTGCATTACAGAATGCTTCTTATATTTTTAATTAAGTTTCAAAAGAATACCAGCATCTTTATTGCCAAAATCATTTATGAAATTACATTAAAATACAAATAAGACCAGTGAAATGTCAACAGAATTGGTTAATTTTCCTCTGCTGGGGTGTTTTGATATTTAGGGAATATTTTATGTCTCCAGAGACCCAAAAAGCAAGTCATCCAAGAAGTGGTGTGCATGCAGAAAATCACCATAATGCCCTATGGGACCAATCTGAGCCCATCAAAATCAACTGCAGTCTCGCTTCTGACTTAAGAGAGGTTCAGTGCTGCTCCTCAATATGTGATTTCTAAACCTAAATAATCATCAGGACTTCCAACACCTCCCTGTTACCAACAGCACTTTAACAGACTCAAACTCCCAGGACAACATACAAATGAAGACTGATGCAGTACTACAACCTATGGAATGCCCAATCCTACATAGGTCACTCCAGAAGTAATACCTCCTATTTATTTCCATGGAAACCACAGCAACTGCAAGAGCACAGAAACATTGTTTGATAGAGTAAATTCTCAGCTCCAAAATACTGTTTTTCAACACAGTCACTACTATTAGCTATGCATTTTCACTATTGTTCAACAAGAACCTGCATGCTGCTCTCCGTAAAATCTGCAAGTCTAGGATCTGAGAGCAGCCTCTGCTCTAAAAGGAACTTTTTATTATGAAATAACACCAAAGTAAAAATTAAAAGACAATAAACAGAAGTACTGAGTAAAAATTAAATGGAGTTTGGCATTATAGAATGTAGACCAGCAACTCAGGAATTTTCACTGCATATCAAAGAGTTTCCAGAATAATGTCTGTGCAACCAGACCTCAGCCTTGTAACCCAGCTCCTAAAATCATATTGTCACTGCTGAGATTAACAGAGGTCACCAACACATCAACAGTTACCATCACCAAAATGAAAATAAATGCACTGCAAAATAAATTCTGAAGTTTGTATTTTGGTTCACTGGAATCTGGACAACTCCATCTTCAGAAGAAATCTGCAAAACCCACTTTCCTACCAAGCACTGCCCAGAAAGCACACACAGTTCATCATGGCAACTGTTCTCATGTCTAATGCATATTTACTCTGTACAGGGAAAATGAGTTATAAGCTTTTGCATAATTTGAATTAAGTTTCTTCATAAAGCAATTACTACACAAACCAAATTTTTAAAACTGAAAACAGTAGTAGATGTATCCCGTGATTCTGAAAGCAGACCCACTCTTTTGGCCTTTCATTAGCTTCATTTTACAGTTGCATGTGTTTTTGACAAAAACAAGTGCTGAAGAAACTCTATACGTGAATATTACATGATATAAATTAATGATATCACTTCTACAAAACTCCAGCATACAGTTTTGTTCGTGAGGGTTTCTAAAGAGTGCAATTACTACTGAGTGTTATAACTGGACAGAAGTATTTAGCAAGTTGTGTCTAGAGTGGTCAAATACACCTCCAGCCTTGAACTGGCAAACCCACGCTGTGGGACAGCTGCTAACAAGGCAACTACACTAACCCAAGGAGCACAAACTGAGCTGCTGTCTTATCACAAAACCAATTTATGTAATTTGAAGATTGGACCTAGATGATCCGATCTCTTACGTATTTGGAAAGCTTTTATCTGCATACCAGTAGAGCACACTTCTGAAAAGCAGAAGGACATTTCTCAGTTGAATAAATAAATCAGTTAGGATTTCAGTCAAATTATTTACATATTCTCAGTTAGCTCCAGGTGAGTTCCCTGTTCTTTTATCTAATTCTTTCTATTTTGTGCTTGTTTAGGAGCTACACATTTGCCCATCACCATTTTCAGCCATCCATCCACACCAGAATATGCAAAAACTGGGAATGATTGTGAGCAGCATGTAAATCTTTTGTATAATAAGCAACTTCCCAAAATGCTGGGAATTCCTGTAAATTATTTCTTCCTGGAACATGGATGGAAGATGATGGCTTTGACCCTTTATACAAAAATCTGACAATCTTCTTAACAAATATCTCCAAGCTATAGCAGCTAACACATATTTATGTGAAAGATGGCTCAGAATAATTGATTAGGTTTGCTAAGGTTCCGGTTAAGAAACTGCAGCTGCAATCTCTTTTTTTTCCTTCTCTTACTGTTTTCTTGCATAACAATTTCTTCCTTATCATTGCTCATTTTCATGCAGAGCATGCTTGCTTTTTTGCTATGGTCAGTAGACACTCCATTTTAATTACTTCAAAGGTAAATATAGTCGAAGGCATTTGGCTCTTATTTTCAGGTAAGAAAAACCAAGTAATATGATGGTTATAAAACAGCATAGGAAAAAATAACATACAAGATACCGACCCCCAAAAAACAGATGTGTAATAAATACATTGTTTGCTTTGTTTTTGCCTAGACCTTTTCCTAGCAAACTCAGCAGAGGCAACAAGTTAACTTATCTGCTACCTAAATCTTTACAGAGGTTACTGTGTAGTTATTTATCAAATGCAAACCTACAACTTCATTACTATAATTATGCAGTAACCATCCAATTAGCTCCCAGGGTAAATGCATGTTGCTCTTGCACTTCCTGCTCCAATACACATTTAGCTTTAAATTTCTGTTCTTACTATGTATGTACCCAGCAGTTATAAGCCCTTTAGAGACACAAATTCCCCCATTATTGATACTGGGCAATCAGATAAGTTGCAAGTGCATGAATAGCTTTAAGAAGTTCTTACGGCTAGATAAGAGAGATAT